CAAAACAAACGCCGTCACTTGGCGCTCTAAAATGAGCGCAGTAGCATCGCAGTAGGGACGCAGTAGCAACTAATTAGCATATCCTACAACGCAACAGGAGCGCCGCGAAAGCGCAAAAGAAACGCCGAATGAACGCCGTGGTTATCCACGGCGCTTGTACGGAGGTTGTGCGACGTCTTTCCCGCGCTTAAACTGCGTGTGCACGGCGCTTTTACGGAGCTTTACGATTTCAACGCAGTGTGAGCGCCGCGAGAGCGTCGTATGAGCGCCGTAAATGCGCAGTGAAAGCGCAAAGAACGTCATAGAAGGGCAGTCTGAACGTAGACAATCGCCAACTAAACCGCCGTCGAAGCTCCGTGGCATCGCCATAATCGTCGTGAGGACGCAGTGAAGACGCCGTGAAGTCTTCATGACATCTACAATATCACATTTTTTATTGCGATCTCGCGGCGCTTTGTTAAATTTAACAACGACGTGCAAGCTCAGTGAAAGCACATTCTAGTGTGACAGGGCCTTAAACTTACTGTTTACAATATGTTGTCAAAGAAACATTTGTTCACATATCAAGTCAGACATTGTCTTGTAACGTAAATAAATTTTAGTACAATATTTATACAATTTGTCTTTGACAAGACATGACATTATTCCAATAGTAATACATGTAAGTGATAAAAGTTATTCATGTAAGTTTAAAACCAAATCGAGAATTGAGTTTTAATTGTATGATTTCTTTAAGTTATTTTAACATTTAGTAATTAAAAAGGCATCGAAACACGAGGCTGTCGGATTTGATGTTTTGATGTTCTTTCTTCCTTGTATCTTAGGCAAAAATAAAAACACATTCCCAGTCATCCAAGAAAAATGTACAAAATGTATAAGTATCTGAATATGACTTTACTACTGTTATCTCTTTCCCTGTCTCTTTCGCTGTCGTCACAATATGTAAAAACCAGAAAAAATGACCCAGTTAACAAGCAAGTGCATGTGTATGTAATGCTATGCAATTTAACTCTGACATGTTTTCAAAAGTCTCCAAAATATGATTCAATCATAATAAATTGTATGAAAATTTGTTGTAATAAATTTATTTTGAGTTACGGTTATTTCATTTTCGTAAAACCAAAATAGGTCCATTACTTTTTCTTGCTTTTTTTGCAAACAATGCAACATTAAACCAATGACAATTTTTGTGTTGAGAAAAAATCACTATAATAGTACTCTTAGTCAAATAAAGCAATGTACTATGATATTGTTTCTTTTACAAGCATTGGAATTGATTTATGTTTGAAATATGTGTAAGTTATTCAAATTCTTCTATAATGTCTGAATGAAAGCTTAAAAATGATGTAAATAACAAGGAATCAGAAGCTGAGATTGTTTTATAGCCTTGTCAATTAGTTTGAAAGAAATAATCCACTAAATATTTCACAGAATATGATAAAAGATATTGAGATACAACTGTTTTGCACTAGGTTTTATTCAAAAAAATATCAAAATGTTTGTGCGAAACGTTTGTAACTTAATGTGAAAACTGTTTCGCACCAACAAAATATATCTGTTTGAGTTACAACTGTTGGACAAATTAACTTTTTTGTAGTTAAATTTTAGCTTTCAAGTTGGATATTTTTACAACATGTGTATATATTGCTCTTACATTGAAAAAAAATCCATAAAACCATTTTCGGTGAAATTATGAGTTAAAACCCTTTCGCACCAAGGCATCGATAAGTCTAATTCTAAATTTTCGTATAAAAACGACAACAGTTTAAGGAAATAACCGAATTTTATGAAAGTCTATTTTGAAGATTTATTTCTTGAAGAAATCTTTTGAATTTGCATCTCTGTCTCCATCATACCTAGGTGGAACTAAAAATTGTCACACGTGTCGAATAGGGAGAATGCAGTAGTTTATATACGAGGGTTGTCCAAAAAAAATTTGGAGCTATTACCTTAAGTTCATTTTTTACACTTTGTAGATTGTCCTGGATATAATTTTGATATAATATATGTCCGTGAGATAACACAATTATCGTTAAAGGTATCAACTTAAACACTTTTTATGTATATAGATATCACTGAGTATCTTAATTTCTCTGTTCTTGATGTAAGATAACTAATTAAAATAATGAATATACGAGTATTTAAGTTGATACCTTTAACAAAGTTTCCTGTTAATACTCTTTATGGTTTAACAGTTTAGTCCCGGACGAAGTTCAAAAAGTACAAATAAGCAAAGGGCAAAAACTCTAATATAACGGTTCTTTTGCACTTTACTTCTACTCAATGGAATTTATCTACCTAAAACGTTTCTGACGTTTTCGAGTTATGATTATTTTCTCTGCACTTTTGTTAATGATGTTCATCTACCTACAAATGTTCTTAAAAATATTTTTTGTCGTTTTATATTAATGCCCCGGACAATGTTCAAAGTGCAAAAACAAAACAAAGCGCAATAACTCCAAAATAAGGCATGGCAGAGCTACATTCTTCTGCACAAAAGCTCTACTGAAATCTATTAACTTACAACGTTTCTTGTAAATACCCCTTGTCGTTTTAGAGTTATGTAAGGGACTAAGTTCAAAGTTTAAAAAAGGGCAATAACTCAAACATAAGCCAACGCAGAGTTACATTTTATCAGCAATGCCCTTTTTACTCAAGAGATCTATTTATTTTTAAAGTTTCTTGTTAATTCCTGTTGTCGTTTTAAAGTTATGACCCGGCCAAAGTTCAAAGTGTACAAAACAAAAGGCCATGATAAGGCAAAATTAGGCAAGGCAGAGTAACAGGTTTTTTGAGGTTTGTTTTGTTTTTTGTGGCACTGCATTCCTACTTCATGAGTTTTATCAGAAGTTCTTGGTAATTGCTCTTGTTGTTTTAGAGTTAAGACCTGGACAAAGTTCAAAGTGTAAAAAATAACAACAAAAGGCAATGACTCTAATGGCGGAGTTAGGGTTTTTATGTACTGCACAACTTTCAAAGTGTAACAATGAACATAGGCTAATAACTCCAAAAGTAAGGAAGGGTGCGGATTAAGGTTCTTCTGCTCTGCACTTCTTCTCATTCAGATGCATCTACCTACGAATTTTAAAGTTAATACCCTTTATAGTTCTCAATTTATGTCTCAGATAAAGTTCAAAGTGTACAAATTACCAAAGGTCAAAAATCCAAAATTTGTCAAGGCACAGTTACGATTATTTTGTACTACACTTCTACTTAATGAGATCTATCAACCTACAAAGTTTCTTGTTAATACCCCTTGTTGTTTTAAAGTTAAGTCCTTGACATAGTTCAAAAAGTAAAATAAGCATAACGGTTCTTTTGACTTTTACTCAAAGAGTTATATCTACCTACAAAGCTTCCGTAAACAATCAAATGACAGTGACAAAATAAGGCAACACAGAGTTATTTTTTACATTGCACGTCTCTCAATGAGATCTATCTACCTACGAAAATTACAAAACAAAGGGCAATAACTCCAAAATTAAGCAAGAAAAGTAACAGTTTTGTTTTGCATTCAACTTCTACTTCATTAAGCCTATCTACTTACAAAGGTTCTTGTTAATATCCATTGTTGTTTTAGTGTTAAAACCTGGACGAAGTTCAAAGTATAAAAACAAGCAAAGGGCAAAGACTTCAAAATTGGCAAGTCAGAGTTATGAATTTTTGCACTTCACTTCTACTCAATGAGAACTATCAACCTACAAAGTCTCTTGTAAATACCGTTGTTTTAGAGTTATGTCCCGGACAAAGATCAAAGAGTAAAAAAAAACAAATGGCAAAAACTCCAAAATTAGGCAACGCAGGGTGATGATTCTTTTGCACTGCACTTTAAATAAATAAGATTTATTAACTTACACAGTTTCTTGTTAATACCCCTTGTTGTTTCAAGGTAATGTCCCAAAGTTCAAAGTGTAAAACAACGGAGGGCCATAACTCCAAAATTAGGCATGGCAGAGTAACAGTTTTTCTGTACTGCACTTCTACTCAATAACATCTATTGTCCTACAAAGGTTCTTGATTTGTATCAATTTGCATTATATGTACATTACAATATACTTTTCTGTATTAATTAAAACATTGCTTTTGAAGGGCAGATGATTATCTTGACGGGTTTTAATACTACAAGAAAATGGGACAGGATAATCTTTATAGGTTCTGTATTAAGAAATCATATTCATGAAATGAATGATCTCTGTATTTAAAATACAACTACACATAATAATGAATACATGAAGAAACAATGACCGTAAAATTTTTTTACATGACATTGTAATACCGAAGGCTGTCTGTAATAAGTAACAGGATTTTTATGTAGATAAAGCAGTGCTCCTGTCAAATGGACAGTATTACGCAATATAATTGGGCAATAAAGATAAACTGAGCTACGATGGCTTTGCCTTTTTGTTACCAAAAAGATGTCTTATACTAGGTCACACTCGCAACCTACATCTGATTAAAACGCCCGATTTCAAAGATTAAGTAATGACATGATCCAAATGTTAGCATTGACATGATCATTATATTTTTCGGAAGTTTATTCACGGGGAGACAAAAAGGGGATAGTTCTCGAAAGAACAAACATTATGGACCACGTTGAATTTATATTGACTTTCTCACAGATGTTGACAATGTATTTGTAAAGCAATCAGTTAATAAAACTGGTATTGATAACTAAAACCATAGTATACAAATTATATAAAATCGTGGTAAAGTGTTTATATCCAAAATAAGCATATCTTTTTGATCCATTATGTTTTGTTTACGTTACGGAAGTATAACTGCATTTTAACATTATTTAACATTTAATCTATAACGTTGCGCTGATTGAGCAAGCATGGAAGGGTGGTAGATAAATAAGGAAGAAAGAATGAACAAACGGACAAATGGTTGGACGAAAGTGTGTATATAAGTGATTCCAACATTAATCCTTTCAGTTTTAAATGGAAGAGGAATAACTAACATAACTCACTAATCAACATGTATGAAACGTTAGTGCTTACTGGTGTGCATGTTTTTGTAATTGTTCGCACAGCGTTTGAATATAGGCCGATCCTTCTTTCTTTCTGAAAGACACGTATCCAGAAGTTGTAGAGAAACCGAGTAGAAAATCAGCTTCATCTGGAATCGATCCTTCTTTAAATGTCCTGTTCCCGTCACCGTCTACTTGCCACCCTTAGAGAAAAATTGATTTGGTCAGAACAAAGGGTTAATGTGCAAGGGGATGCTTAATTAAAAAAACAAAATAAGACGACATGATATAGTAAACATAATGAGAGAGGATATGTTGGTATGTAGTTTCAAACCTAGTTATTATAACAATATTTAATAAAATATTGCAAAAACACTGCTTTCAAAAATAATAACAATTATGACAGAGTTACAACGTCCTTGGCCTAAACAAAATTTGCAGGAAACTATAAATCAAACTATATAACGCAGGGTATTATTTGTTACAGGGTATATTTCTGCAAAACTGCTTATAAGACTAACTTGCCTATGATGGTCAACATATATTTCAAATTGAACACTTATCTTTAATGTTCTTTGAGAAAGTAAATATTCTAAGTAAAAGGGAAAGTATGCTGACCTTTAATCCAGTCTGTACAAATAACAAAATATAGCTGAATATTTTGTATACCAGCAGGCAATGAAGGAAGAGCTCAAAATCACAAACTATACATTATTGAAGTTCGCAACGTACTTTAACATTTATGATGCATTTATATCGTTGTGAATTCAAACAGAACAATTTGTAAGTCCGAATACAGTTTTACGGGTATCTTATAAAGTGTAAAATCAAATCAAATAACACAAAAAAACATTTGTTCCCCAGAAAATATTTTAACAATTTAGCCACGTCCTTAATAAAAAGAAATATAAACTAGAAATGTGTCCATAGGACACGGGTGCCCCCATACTCAACCGTTGAAAACACAAGGTGAATTGGAAATGTTTCTAATTCAAGGGCAATAACTCTAATAGCAATAAATCCACACAAAAATACACATGCTTATCAACATGCCAGTGACGTTTCATAACTGTAGGTCAAATATTTTTTAATTACATGCGACACAAGTTGAAAATTGCAATTTTTTCCTTAGTAAAGGGCAATTACTCTAAAAATACTAAAAATATCCACACGAAAATACCCAGGTGCATAACTACACATGCTGAACAACATTCTCGTAGGTTTTCATGACTAGGTCAAATACGTTTTTAGTTACGTGCGACACAAGTTGAAAATTTGAAATGTTTACTAATTCAAGGGCTATAACTCTAAAATACTATATATATGGACGAAAAATACCCAGGTGCACAATTACACATGCTGATCAACATTCCTGTAAGGTTTCATATATCTAGGTCAAATATGTTTTGAGTTACGTGCAACACAAGTTGCAAATTTTTACTAAGTCAAGGGCAATAACTCTAATAATACTAAATACTTGATCAACATTCCTGTAAGGTTTAATGACTCTAGGACAATTACTTTTTGAGGTACGTGCGACACAAAAAGAGAACAGACGGACAACATTTGGGGTTTATGTGCTTTTCCTTTGATCTTTATGTTGCATGTTTGCCCCCATACACTAGTATAATTACCACATAAACTTGTCAGTTAATGGTATTTCCTTCTTTTATTAACTAAAATTATGGACGGAATGAAACTCATAGACCATTGGATGTTCGCCCGGACGGACAAGGGTAAATCTAAATCAAATAAGCTTCCGTTAATTGAGATCTGTTATAGCTTATTTGTATAATTAGTCGATGTTTAAACAATACTTTGATAATATGAAATTGAAAATAAGACAAGTGTCTATATTTGATATGATCAATCGAACATGTACTAAACTATTATTAATGATCGAAAACTCACCACCCATACGTTTACTCCCCTGACACGCTTGAAAGAAAAAGAGTTTTGGTTTTCCTGCAAGCTTTTTGCAATTTGTCGCTCGAAAAAAGCTAGTAATTTTTTCAATCGTAGCACACTCAGTGTCACAACAAACAACTTCGTCTTCTTTTCCATGCGATAAGATACAGCAGACAAAGCAATCCATTTGATTGTGATCCATTTTAGCATAGTCCTCCAAAATTGATAACATCTGTGTTTTACTTTTATCCTTTTCTGACTTAACATTGAATTTTAGTCCAGTGAATACTTTAAACAGACGTGCTGAAATAGTAAAAACGTTACTCGTAGTGTATGATAAATATTTTTTTCAGTTCACACCTTCAAAATCTAATCAATTAACGGAAAGTGTTTAGATCAAAACAAAAATCATTTTTTGATTAAATTCCAATGCAATTCGTTTTCAAAATTTCTTTATTAAATTGTATTCAAATTAGATTTCTAACAAATATGGACAATTTCAATAAATAAGCTAGTTATGTTCATATAAAAATAGCAAACGTAATCGTAAAAAACATAGTGTAGATAATTGAAAAGAAAAAAGTCCTAATCCTTATCTTAGTGTCAAAGCAATATTTTGAAAATAATAAGTTAATGATATACCTTCATCTTTATCAGATCCATCTCTGTCTAATTTGGGGTTGTTAAATTTCATGTTGTTTATTATCAAACACCATCCTATCAGACAAGTAATAACGTTTCTTGTACATAGACGTATAAATAAAAACGAATTAACAATTGAATGTAAGTTTAAAGCATTTTTCAACTGCTTAAAATCCCATTAAAACTTAGACATGCTATCATCTTATCTATAACAAAACTTTCTGCTATCCTCTTACAGTTGCTTAAACAATACTTATTGCCACAAAGATAACATTGTTACTCTAACAAAAGGATTGCACAAAGCATTTACCTTTGCGGAAGCCATCGATAAAGGCTAGCTTCACCAAAGTTTGCCTAGTAAATATTCAAGGTATCAGGCAATAAATAAAGGCACTGTAAGCAGGACTATGAAAGTCATCTTTAAGCACCGTTGACCTTGACTTTGATCTGATAATTAACTTCCACCAATTTTTTTTTATCTCAGCATACCTAAATATTGACCTTGACCAAAATGAGAGTAACTTAAAACTCGAACTAAAAGGACATACAAAAGTACTTTCCTACCAAATAATAAATTATCCAGTCAATAGCAAGATTTTATACTAGTAACATTGACTTAACTTAAACTACAATTTCATTACGAAAAAAGTAAAATATCCTAAGGTATGTTCTTACTTAATATGAAAAGCATTTGGCAATAGATAAAACAATTGGACACACATTATTAAACATTATTATGATATCTCAATAAATACTAAAGCAGTGCAGAATAATGGTTCTTAACCATTACGTTTTCCTTCTCTGGTCTCTTTTCGATTTTAATTTGTTCAATACTTATCAATTCATCCTTTATGGACGGACGGACGTTTTTGCCAAAGCTTATCAATGGGGTTATCCGATAGACTTCTTATGATGATTTATTATCAGACCATTAACCTTTTTCAGTCTACAACATCATGTTAATCCCCGAAAAAACAATTTGAAAGGAAATGGAGCTTATAACCATCAGCCTCTTAGCCTCTTTATAGCTTCTGTGTATGCACAACCAAACGAGCTTAAGGAATGACTCACAAGGCTACGACTATATGCTCTCCTATCTTTTAGGATGATTAAAAAAGCAAAGTTACTCAATACATTCATTGTCACCTCTTATTTCTTTCTCCATTTGGTATTCTTCGAAAATACCTACAATAAAAAAACTCCTGTACAAAAATGTTAAACATGTTTTTAAGTTTAAACAAAAATTGTACAAAGCATATGACCTCCATATTCATGTTTATTTGACTTGTCTTCTCCAGTGTTAACACACACTTTACAACCAACAAAATGTTCTATAAAGTACAAAATGGTTTCCTAAAAAAAGGTCTTGTAAACCCCGATTTCTAAAGTAATTAGATGACATTTTGCAATCTGTCAACGTAAAACGACAAGCTGACCTTAAACTTCTTAATTTCTCAAAAGCTTTTGACAAAAACAACCATGAATGATTCCTGTGTAAGCTGCATTTCTATAGTAAGGCAACGGAGTAACATTCAAACGGATTAAGTCTTTCTGAGACAAGAGGTCAAAACATGGAGCAGTCAATTTATCTTAGTCAACTTCTTTGTTGTCTCCAAGGTTGAAGTCCTAGAACCTCTATTATTTCTTATCTATATATCAAATGATCTTTTTAACTTCTCTATTACTTTCAAGTAAGACTATTTGCACACAACACTGCTGTGAATCTTTATATTACTATCGCATCTCACTGTTATCACCTTAGTGGGGCAGGACATCTATAAAATAGTGCAAATGGTGATAAAAGCATGAAACTTTCAGGAAATCATCTTTAGACCATGTAGATTTCAAAAGTGAAGTGGGTCTAAATATCTCTGCCCATTCAAGATGGCCGCCATTTTCAAGATGGCCACTATTTACATTTGACCTACATAATAGCTCATTCATTCCATTTTTTTGTAACCTGAAACTTACACCAAAAGCTTCATATAGTTTCTCTTTTTCAAAACTTTAAATCTTAAAAATATCAATTTTATACCTCTTTCATACCTCTTCCAAATCCAAGATGGCGACCCAAATGGCCGTCGATTTTGGGCAAAACTATTATCATTTTTAAAGTATATTTTGTTGCACAAATTATATCTATTATGATAAAAAATGTGTTTAAACATATCAGAAATAATCAAATTATATGTTAATCTCAATGAAAGTAAACATTTTAAAAGATTTTATCTTAAAAATATATTAGGAAAAATATTAAGAAAAATTCAATTGTTTGCATATTTTTTAAATATGATTTACCCCTATGTCCACTCCAAGTTTTTGTTTGTTGCCTTCTGGGTACCCTACTTGAGTGTGTTTTGGGCCGCGTCCTGTGAACGTTGCCTTCGCCTTGTTGATTTTCATTCTTGTTTTTTTCTAAATAAGTGTACAAAGTTAAAAAAGTTACTTTATATCTTTAACTGCTGTATTTTATACCATAATTGTTACAGATAAATGACATAGGTAAGTTATAGAAAGAGCATCGAAACACAAATTTGTACGAGAAGGCGTAGTCCCCGAGTATTAATCAGATTGCCGAGTGTGTTGATGTTCTTTTTCTTTTGTATCATAGTCGAAGCATAAAAACACGTTCCCTGATGTCACAATATGAAACCCAAGAAAAATGTAACAAATATCAGACCATTAATCCTTTTCAGTCTACAACATCATGTTAATCTCCGAAAAAACAATTTGAAAGGAAATTGAGCTTGTAACGATCAGCCTCTTAGCCTCCTTATAGCTTCTGTGTATGCACAACCAAACGAGCTAAAGGAATGACTCACAAGGCTTCGACTATATGCTCTCAATCTTTTAGGATGATTAAAAAAGCAAAGCTACTCAATACATTCATTGTCACCTCTTATATTGTTCTCCATTTGGTATTCTTCTAAAGTACCTACAATAACAAACTCCAGTAAGATAATGTTAAACATGTTTTTAAGTTTAAACAAAAAATGTACAAAGCATATGACCTCCATATTCATGTTTATTTGACTTGTCTTCTCCAGTTTTAACACACACTTTACAACCAACAAAATGTTCTATGAATTACAAAATGGTTTCCTAAAAAAGGTCTTGTAAACCCCGATTTTTAAAGTAATTAGATGACATCTTGCAATCTGTCAAAGTAAAACGTCAAGCTGACCTTAAACTTCTTAATTTCTCAAAAACGTTTGACAAAAACAAACATGAATAATTCCTGTGTAAGCTGCACTTCTATAGTAAGGTATCGGAGTAACATTCAAACGGATTAAGTCTTTCTGAGACAATAGGTCAAAACATGGAGCAGTAAATTTATATTAGTCAACTTCTTTGTTGTCTCCATGGGTGAAGTCCTAGAACCTCTATTATTTCTTATATATATATCAAATGATCTTTTTAACTTCTCTAATTACTTTCAAGTAAGACTATTTGCACACAACACTGCTGTGAATCTTTATATTACTATCGCATCTCACTGTTACCACCTTAGTGGGGCGGGACATCTATAAAATAGTGCAAATGGTGATAAAAGCATGAAACTTTCAGGAAATCATCTTTAGACCATGTAGATTTCAAAAGTGAAGTGGGTCTAAATATCTCTGCCCATTCAAGATGGCCACTATTTACGTTTGACCTACATAATAGCTCATTCATTCCATTTTTTGTAAAGACCTGAAACTAACACCAAAAGCTTCATATAGTTTTTCTTTTTCAAAACTTTAAATCTAAAAAATATCACTTTTATACCTCTTTCATACCTCTTCCAAATCCAAGATGGCGACCCAAATGGCCGTCGATTTTGGGCAAAACTATTATCATTTTTAAAGTATATTTTGTTGCACAAATTATATCTATTATGATAAAAAAATGTGTTTTAACATATCAGAAATAATCAAATTATATGTTAATCTCAATAAAAGTAAACATTTTAAAAGATTTTATCTTAAAAATATATTAGGAAAAGATTAAGAAAAATTCAAATTTTTGGATATTTTTTTTATTTGATTTACCCTTATTTCCACTCCAAGTATTTGTTTGTTGCCTTATCGGTACCCTACTTGAGTGTGTTTGGGGCTGCGTCATGTGAACGTTGCCTTCGCCTTGTTGATTTTCATTCTTGTTTTTTTCTAAATAAGTGCACAAAATTAAAAAAAGTTACTTTATATCTTTAACTGTATTTTATACCATAATTGTTATAGATAAATGACATAGATAAGTTATAGAAAGAGCATCGAAACACAAATTTGTACGAGAAGGCATAGCCCCCGAGTTTTAATCAGATTGCCAAATGTGTTGATGTTCCTTCTCTTTTGTATCATAGTCAAAGCATAAAAACACGTTCCCTGATGTCACAATATGAAACCCAAGAAAAAAGTAACAAATAAACGAGCATATGTATATGATATTTCTATTGCTTTCCCTTTCTCTGTCGTCACAATAAGTAAACCCAAGCAAAAAATTAGCCAATAAATGGGCATGCTCTGAGGTGCGATTAAGTAATACCTGCACTCCAGTTAACGCACTGTGCATGTTTATCTATACGATATAACTGTGACACATTTTTCAACAGAAATGTCCCCTAACTATGATACAATTTCATTCTATTTCTTTGCTTTTTTATTTTTCTATGAGTCGTATGCAAATGTTTCAACCTAAAATGTACTTTTTATTGGATGAAGGTTGTTTTGACTTCCTTCGAGTCAAATGAGTGAGCAATAAATGCAAATACAAACATGTGTACATTCAATTATTAAATTTGGTTGCATAATTATTCTGTTTCAATTTATTTGATATTATATATTAACCATTAATTGAAAAAGACATAGTTATAAGAGGGCAATAGATTAACTAAAGGTGCTTACAGTAGCAAACATGTACATGAATCTTAGGTACAAAAGGTAGTCCATAAACGCATATTTTTGACTCCTTCACAATTTTATATTAATAATAAACATGGTTGAAACGTCAACAAAATGTTTTGTTGTTTTTTTTCATTTAATGTCTGAACATACATAGCAAAAATAACGCTACTGCCACATCACATTATCTATGTGATGTGAAACAGATATATCAATGATATGGCCTGGCCTGCATGCAGTTTTTAGTTGGGACGTAGTGTACATACAAA